TTTGACATCTCAGGTGGGCATGGTGATGAACACCTTTTTCTTTTTTGGTTTTTTGAGACAGTGATTTTTTGTGTTGCCCTGGCTGTCCTGGAACTCACTTTGTAGACCAGGCTCTGCCTCACGAGTGCTGGAATTAAAGGCATGGGACACCACCACCTGGCTATGACGAACACCTTTATTTATTTATTTATTTATTTTATTTATTTTATTTTATTTTTTTGGAGCTGAGGATCGAACCCAGGGCCTTGTGCTTGCTAGGCAAGTGCTCTACCACTGAGCTAAATACCCAACCCAAACTTAGGTCTTTTTTTTTTTTTTTTTTTTTTTTTTGAGACAGGGTTTCTCTGTGTTGCTTTGCACCTTTCCTGGAACTCGATTTGGAGACCAGGCTGGCCTCGAACTCACAGAGATCCACCTGCCTCTGCCTCTCAAGTGCTGGGATTAAAGGCATGCGCCACCACCGCCAGGCGACGAACACCTTTAATCCCAGTTTTTTAATTAGCATTCCTCTATTTGATTTGTTCATATGGTCTTATAACTACTATTGAAATTATGTTCAGAACTCAAAGACTTTGACAACACATCAAACACATCACAAACTTAAAGACAGCTGTTGTACATTTAACCTCAGCATCCAGTTCTGCTTTTGGATTGCACAGAATCAATAACTAATTCATACAGAAAATAACTAAATGTCTTAGCCAGCCTTAGCTCAGTCTACATCTTAAACATGGGCAACACCTGAAAACTATTGGTAACACAGTTGCACGTGACTGTGACAAGTATGTCTGAACCACACAAGCTGACATTTGAGAGAGGCCTGGGCAGCATGGCTCCTGACTTTTCTTGTCTCCCTGTAACACTGCACTCCTTTGATGACTTACTTCCTGGTCCAAATAATTATTGGTGACACACTGGGGAGACATTCAGTAGGGACACATGACAGACAAAGAGTTTATTCTGAAGACTGTAGTAAGTTAGAGCCCAGGGTGGAGCCTTGGGTATCAGTCACTGCAGTGAGTTCCACTAACAGGTTCTGATCATTGAATGTCAGTCACTGCAGTGAGTTCCCATCATGTTCCTTCCCATCACTGAATGTCAGTCACTGCAGTGAGTTCCACCATCATGTTCCCATCATGGTGCTGTCTTGATCTTCTGAGGCAGGTGGAATACCTGTCTGGAGAAGGACCGCTTCCTGCTTCTCTGTGTCTCCTTATCCTGTATCAGTGTCAGTAGCTGTGACGAGCCTGGGGCTGGGCTACCTTGTGGCAGTCTAGTCTGTGAACTGTTTATTAAGACAGGTGGAGAGTGGAGCTCAGTTGATTCGGTGCTGTCCCCAGCAATGCAAAAAATAAAAACAAACACCGTATCTAAAGCTGGGAATGAAGACAATGCCTGTAATTTCAACACTGTGGAGTCTGAGGCAGAAGGATCACTTTGAATTCTAGGCCAGCCTAGTCAACTTACTATGACCTGTCTCAAAATAAAAAGTAAAAAATAAGCTAGGTGGTGGTGTCGCACACCTTTAACCCCAGCACTTGGGAGGCAGAGGCAGAGGCAGGTGGATCTCAGTGAATTCAAGACCAGACTGGTCTATAGTGCAAGTTCCAGGACAGCCAGGGCTGTACAGAGAAACCCTGTCTAAAAAAAAAAAAAAAAAAAGTATCTATCTCAGGGATAGAACCCTGGGCTAGCATCTGAGAGGTTCTGGGTTCAGTCCCTAGAACTGCAAGAACAAAGAAACACAAATTTCCAGTGTTTTAAAGAGGTGAATCCCATGATTGCTCTGCTGGAGTGTACAGGATTGATGAGATGGAGTGGGCAAGCTTTCCAGGCTGGACATAATGACACCTGAGTCAAAGGGGTAGCAGTGGCATTAGAGGCAGGGAGGACAACTGGTGTTAAAAAGGTCTGTCTGGCAAGATTTGACAACTGTGCAGGATCTGAAGGGAACTCCAGCAGAAGGGCTGGGTGTGTGGTTTTGTCACAGAGTGCCTATCTAGCATGCATAAGGGACTAGGTTTAATCTCCACTAGTCAAAAAAAAAAAAAAAAGATTCAAGAAAGAGGACGAAATAAAAGCAGTTGCCACCCCATCCCAAAAGCAGGAAGGAAGGAGAGGAAGAGGTCTGTCTACTGCAGTGCTCAGGTCCCATCCAGTGTGCCAGGTGACACCAGTGACACGGATGGAGAGTATGGGCGACAAGAGACAAGAGGATGGCTTTTTTTTTTTTAATTACTTATTTTTATTTTATCAGTGTTTTGCCTGTATATATGTCTATGTGAGGTGTTGGTTTCTGGAGTTACAGAAAGTTGTGAGCTGCCATGTGGGTGCTGAAAACTGAACCCGGGTCCTCTGGAGGAGCAGTCAGTGCTCTTAACCACTGAGCTATCTCTCCAGCCCATAGTGCAGCTTTTGTATTGTTCGGTTTTGTTTGAGACAGTCTCCTGTGTATTCTAGGTTGACCTAGAACTCCTGGCCCTCCTGCCTCTACCTCCCAAGTGCTGGGATTGCTGGTGTGTGACTACACCCAGCTCAGGAATAAAAGTAAATGGTGATTATTGCAAGCATAATGAGCGCAGCGATGTTCTTCGAGATAAAAATGTCCAAATGTGCTTGCTTGTTCACTTAGCAGTTAGCTGCATTGTGGTGTGAAGTTCAGAGGGGAGGTCTGCACTCGGGGTGTCACCACGGAGGTGGACCAGCACACTGCAAAGAAGAGCGTGCAGGGCGTGCTTTCAGATAACAAAGTGTAAGGATTAATGTAGTAGGATTTGCTCCGCCCATGACCTTGGGCTATAGGGCCAGAAGGAGGTGGTACTTCTTGCCCTTGTGACCTCTTAAAAGGAAATGGAGAAGGGTCGCATGCCTCTTCTTCCGGTTGCCTGCGAGGTGGATTCGCTCGGTCAGATCAGAGGACGACTTCAGCTATCTACTCCGTTCTGTATTCATGAGTGCATTTCCTCAATTTATATCTTAATAAATCCCTATTACCCATTAAAAAAGAGGAGAGGAGCCGGGCAGTGGTGGGCACGCCTTTAATCCCAGCACTCGGGAGGCAGAGCCAGGCGGATCTCTGTGAGTTCGAGGCCAGCCTGGTCTCCAAAGCGAGTTCCAGGAAAGGCGCAAAGCTACACAGAGAAACCCTGTCTCGAAAAACCAAAAAAAAAAAAAAAAAAAAGGAGAGGAGAGATGGCTCAGAGGTTAAGAGCACCGACTGCTCTTCCAGAGGTCCCGAGTTCAATTCCCAGCACCCACATGGTGGCTCACAACCATCTGTAATGAGATCTGGCGCCCTCTTCTTCTGTGTACATAATAAATAAATAAATCTTTAAAAAAAAAAAAAGAGCATTGACTGATGTTCCAGAGGAACCGGATTCAATTCCCAGGTCCTCCCTCCGGAGTCCAATCACACCAGGATAGTAAATAAATAAATAAATAAAAGGAAGGGACCATGTGACCCTTCTCCCTTTCCTTTAAGAGGTCACGTAGGGCGGAAACACCACCTCCTTCCGGACCTATAGCCCAAGGTCATGGGTGGAGCAAATACCACTACAAATTAACCCTTAGGCTGATTACAGAAATGAAAGGGACACTCAGGTGTCCTGATGGGTTATCTGAGGTGTTAGGTTACCTGAGCCCCAGGATGTATCTTGAGGAAGATCTGCTTTACCTAACCTACCCCATCAAAGTCCCAAATAGGCCCAGTCCTGATTAGCTGCTAAGAGCCGAGGGCATTGGGTGTGTCCAAGTGGTATTTTGCATAGCCTCCTGTTTGGGGGAGCCTCTAGTGATTGCTGGTTACCTGGGCCAGTTCCATGTTGGTTTGTTTGTTTCTATATACTTGGTTTATGTCAATAATTTAGTTCTGATGCCCTGAAAGGCTAAAACACTAAAAAGTAAAATAAGCTGAAATGTCCAGATTTCAGCAAGGGTCATTGTTTCCAGGTCATCAGCTGCTTCCTGTCTTGCGCTGTCTGCCGGCTCTGCTTTTGGCAGATGAGTTTTATGAAAAAGTCTATCTTGACTTGGAACAGCACTCCTATATCTTGAACATTTAAAGCAGTGGTTCTCAACATGTGGGTCATGACCCCTTTGAGAGTAGAATGAACCTTTCACAGGGGTCCCCTGAGAGCATCAGAAAACACAGATATTTACATTACAATTCACAACAGTAGCAAAATTAGTTACAAAGTAGCAATGAAAATAATTTTATGCTGGACGATGGTGGCACACGCCTTTAATCCCAGCACTGGGGAGGCAGAGCCAGGTGGATCTCTGTGAGTTCGAGGCCAGCCTGGGCTACCAAGTGAGTTCCAGGAAAGGCGCAAAGCTACACAGAGAAACCCTGTCTCAAAAAACCAAAAGAAAAAAGAAAAGAATTTTATGGTCAAGGGTCACCAAAACATGAGGAATTCTATTAAAGAGTAGCAGCATTAGGAAGGTGGAAAACCAGTGATTTAAAGTTAATGAGGAAGGGGCTGGAGAGCTGGCTCATTAGTTAAAGAGCATGTTGCCCTTTGTAGGACCCAAGTTCAGTTCCCAGTACTCACGGCAGGCAGCTCACAGCCACTTGTAATTTCTGCTCCATGGGTTCTGACACCCCCTTCTGTTCTAGGCACATACACACATGCATGCACGTTCTCACACACAAGTGTGTGTGTGTTTGCGCTTGCAAGTAATCACACGGTTTTGTAATATAAGTAACAAATCTTTAAAGTTATTAAGGAAGAAGTCTGTGTAATACACATAGCAAATATTAATTTACTTGGGGTGAAGTGAGTTGTTTTCATTTTCCTGGCATGAACTGCTAAGCAGTTCTGGGCCTCTTGGAGTTTAATACAGTGGGAAACTTGTCGAAGTACTATGGTACTGTTATAAAATATACTTACTTTACTCGTTTGGGGATAGATTAAAACAAATGTCTGAACTCTGTGCTGTGAGTATTAATTTTTTCACGATCTATGTAGTTTGTTTATCGATGGACATTCTTACAACAGGATTTATGATGCTGGGTCGGAGAACAATGCAGCAGTTGTAGCCGTAGAAACCCACACGATACACAAAATTGAAGAAGGAATTGGTAAGTCTTTCTGCTGTTCTATCCAGTACCTTTGACTTCAGCTTGGTGGTTGAGAGTTTCTGTATATTTTTGCTTTTAAATTTCTGGGCATAAAACCTGGGATTTTGTCCAAGCCAGGCTGGTGCTCCACTACTGAGCTGTGCCCCCAGCCTGTGATTTCTGGCCTTTTATGTCTTATTTTCTGTCCCCACCAATGCAGTGTGCCTACTGATACTGCCAATTACCATGGCAGACTTGCCAGGCATGGTGGTGCGTGGCTTTAATCCTAGCACACAGGAGGCAGAGGCAGACAGATCTCTAAGTTCCAAGTTCCTGGACAGCCAGGGCTACATAGAAAAACTGTCTCAAAAAAACCAACCAACCAAAAAGATGGCAGACCTGTCACTTGATCACCTAATATCAATATGTTGCAAGAGCCAAAAAAATGTTTTTGTCTATAAAAATCCTATAAAGAGGCGTGGGGTAAAATGTTTAGCTTGAGTCTCTATGTGGGATCCCTAAACACCATTGGGGTGGGGGGTTGAAAATGAAACAAAACAAAAAGAACCATGGGGCCTATGATGTTAATCTGTAAATCTAGCTACTTGGGAAGCTGAGGCAGAGACAGGCGGATCTATGTGAGTTCGAGGCCAGCCTGGGCTACAGAGTTAGTTCCAGGAAAGGCGCAAAGCTACACAGAGAAACCCTGTCTTAAAAAACCAAACCAGGCCGGGCGGTGGTGGCGCACGCCTTTAATCCCAGCACTTGGGAGGCAGAGCCAGGCGGATCTCTGTGAGTTCGAGGCCAGCCTGGGCTACCAAGTGAGTTCCAGGAGAGGCGCAAAGCTACACAGAGAAACCCTGTCTCGAAAAACCAAAAAAAAAAAAAAAACCAAACCAGGTTGGGCGGTGGTGGCGCATGCCTTTAATCCCAGCACTCGGGAGGCAGAGGCAGGTGGATCTTTGTTAGTTCGAGGCCAGCCTGGTCTACAGAGCGAGATTCAGGAAAAGGCGCAAAGCTACACAGAGAAACCCTGTCTCAAAAAACCAAAAAAAAAAAAAAAAAAAAAAAAAAAAAAAAACCAAAAAAAAAAACAAAAACAAAAAAACCAAACCAAAGCAAAACAAAACAAAACAAATCACAGATTTAGGGCCTATCTGCATGACAGAGCACGTTCAAGGCCAGAAGATTAGGTATATAAATTCAGTAGTAAAATGCTTGCCTAGCATGTGCAAAGACCATTCAGTCCATAGCCATCCCTACCTACCTCCACCCCCTCATCACACTGGGCATGATGAGGCAGACCTGTAATCCCAACATTGGGAGGCTGAGACAGGAAGATTATGTTTGAGGTTGGGCTGTATAGCAAAACCCTGCCTTAAAAAAGTAATCCCACAATGAAAAGGGAGCATTTAAATTGATCCCTGTCATTAGGGGAGGCTGCAGGTGAAGACTGAAGAGTCATTGTATTGACTGGGAAATTGTCAATGAAAGAAAACTTAGAATCTAAGACTTTTTTACATTTTCTCACTCAGTGTTCTTGAGAAATTAACTTCTCCGCTCGAGAGATGGCTCAGAGGTTAAGAGCACTGGCAACTTTTCCAGAGGTCCTGAGTTCAATTCCCAGCAACCACATGGTGGCTCACAACCATCTGTAATGTGATCTGGTGCCCTCTTCTGGCGTGCAGACAGAACACTGTGTACATAATAAAGAAATAAATCTTTAGCCAGGAGGTGGTGGCTCATGCCTTTAATCCCAGCATTTGGGAGGCAGAGCCAGGTGGATCTCTGTGAGTTCGAGGCCAGCCTGGTCTACAGATCGAGATCCAGGACAGGCTCCAAAATTACACAGAGAAACCCTCTCTTGAAAAACAGCAACAACAAAAAGAGAAACTCACTTCTCTTTTGAAGCCCATGTATATATGTAAAACACAGGAAGTAATTACCATCTCACAAGATTATAATAACTAAAATGCTGGGTGTTTTGTCTCATGCTTATAATCCTGACACTTTGGAATTAGCAAGATTCGGAGTTCAGGGGCTGGAGAAAGGCTTAGTGGTTCCAGCACTAAGTTCAATTCCCAGCACCCATGTGACAGCTCTGTCTGTAACTCCAGTTCCAGGGATTCTGACACCCTCACACAGACACACATGCAGGCAAAACACCAATGCACATAAAATAAAAATAAATAAATAAATAAAAAAGAACAGGAGTTCAAAGCTATCCTTGGCTACATAAAAAGTTCATGGCAGTTTGAAACTGTCTCGAAAAACAACCAAACAAAAGAATTATAGTAGCACATGTAAAGGTTTATGGTAGGGTTGACCATGTAGCTCAGCGGTACAACACTTAACTAGCTTGCATAATGCCCTGGGTTTTATCCTCAACAACATGCGAAACAAACAAATCTGAGGCTCAGCAATTAAAATGGCTTGCCGTATATGTAGGCAAACCTGCAACCTGAGTTCAATCTCCAGAACCCATGTAAAGTTGGAAGAAGAGGACACTCTCCAGAGTTGGCCATCTCCACAGCGTGATGCGCATGCCCTCCCCAGTAAGAATAAATAATTTTTTTTTTCCGAGATAGGATTTCTCTATGTTAGTTTTGGTGCCTGTCCTGGATCTCGCTTTGTAGACCAGACTGGCCTCGAATTCACAGAGATCCACCTGCCTCTGCCTCCCGAGTGCTGGGATTAAAGGCGTGTACCACCACTGCCCAGCAAATAATATTTTTAAATTAAAAAATAGAGAGAATATGTCATAGTGTCTTTTTTTTTTTATTGGTTTTTCTAGACAGGGTTTTTCTGTGTAGTTTTGGTGCCTGTCCTGGATCTCGCTCTGTAGACCAGGCTGGCCTCGAACTCACAGAGTTCTGCCTGGCTCTACCTCCCTAGTGCTGGGTTTATAGGCATGCGCCACCACTGCCGGGCTGTGTCATAGTGTCTTAACACATTGGTGCCTTAGTAAGACATAGCTGTTATGTTGAATTTCAAAAGTCTTTCTGGGGCTGGAGAGATTACTAAGTGTTACGAGCACTTGCTGCAAGGACGTGGCTTAGATTCGAGCTCACAAGATAACTCACAGCCATCGTAACTCCAGTCCCAGGGGAGCCAGTGCTTTCTTCTGGTCTCTGCAGGCATCAGGCAAACAACTGGTGGACAGACTTGCATGCAGGCCAAACACCCATGCAATTTTTATTTTTATTTTTAAAGAGTGCCTTGTTAGTGGTGGGAATATAGCCTAGTTGGTAGAGTTCAAGGATCAGTTATCTGAGGTCATCATTGCTGTATACTGAGTTCAAGGCCAGCCTGAGCTACATGAGACCCTATCTAAAAAAAAAAAAAAAAAAAAAAAAAAAAAAAAAAAAAAAAAAAGATGGCCTGAAAGGAACCCGAAAACTGTACATTTGGAATTTAAGTTTGGGGAAGAATTGTTCAGTAAACAGTGGATTGCTTTTTCCATTTTCAGATGCAAGTAGTATAGAAGCGAATGAGGATATGGAAATTGCTTACCCTATAACCTGTGGAGAGAGCAAAGCCATCCTCCTCTGGAAGAAGTTTGTGTGTCCAGGAATAAATGTCAAGTGCGTCAAGGTAATTGTCTCCTCTTGAGGTTTTTGGAGGGCTCTGATCTAGGGTCTGGAAATGCTGGGCAAGTGCTATTTGTTTAGTTATTTTTCATGGCGCCCATGTGCAAGGTAAAGGAGGTTTGTAGCAGTCTGTTCTCTCCTTTCCCCATGTGGATTCATCGGAGGCTTGAACTCTACTTGTCAGGCTTGGCAGCTGCCGCTCCTGCAATGTTTGGGTCCTGGAACCCTGGCTAGGGCCATCAAGGGGATGAAGAAAGACAACCACATGTACAGTAAAGCTGGGGTCAGGTTTGGTTCTCTAACTGCTATCTGGAACCTCAGCATATTATATTTTAGGTACAGCACAGAGAGAAAGGTTAGGTAGTCTTGGTATAGTAGGTCTCTGTAGGTGTAAACATCTGGGAGGAGGAAGCTGCAGTTGCTAGTCTGGGCTCACACTGATCAATTATTCATTCATAAGCACTTGTACTTGTAAGCGTGGGCCACGTGGGTAAAGGTTTTGCCAGTTGCTCCTGGTCTGAGGCTTTGGGCTTTCTTGGCATGGCTGCACCCATGTCAAAATATATATCCTCAGCCGGCGGGCATAGTGGTACACACCTTTAATCGCAGGACTTGAGAGGCAGAGGCAAGACCAGCCTGGTCTACAGAGCGAGTTCCAGGACAGCCAGGGCTACATAGTGAGACCCTATCTTGAAACAATGATAACAAAAATACCCATTCCTTCAGGGCTTCACTCCCTCCCTCAGAGTTTGTCACTTCCTACAGGCAGCAAATACCTTCATCTGCTGAGCCGTCTTGCTGTCCCCACAGCTTTGTTCTTACGGTGTCACAGTAGAAAACCTAAGGATTTTGAAATAAAATGGGTCTGGCCCTAGTTCCACTGGAGCATGGGTCTTGTGCAAGCAGAGAGTATTATCTGTTTCACCAAGATAAACCTAGTCCATATGATGCCTTGGTGGTGGTGGCAGGACCTTGTGCATGACAAAGGCCGACCCTGTGTGGCGCCTAATAGTGTTTGATAAGTGTTCAACAGGTAAGTGAATGAATAGCCAGAACCCTTCACTATCTCTGCCTAGTCATGTGATTTTGAGCAAGTTGTTTAATAATTAAAATTTCAGAGCCTTGCTGGGCATTGTAGTGTACACCTTTAATCCCAGCAATCAGGAGGCAGAGGTAGGCAGAGGCAGGCAGATCTCTGAGTTCAAGGCCTGCCTGGTCTACGAAGTGAGTTCCAGGACAGCTGGGGCTGCACAAAGAAACTTGAGCCTTATGTATTAAAATAGTAATCATTCTCATCAATATACATACGGCTATACAGCACATACACTGTGCTATAGTAAACAAGATCATATATGTAACATGCCTTGAACTGATGCATCGTAATAGGCTTTATTCAGAATTGTTGTTTATAAGAATAAGTAAGGTGTAATAGGTCATGCCTGTAATCCCAGCATGGAGGCAGTAGGATTTAAGTTTGAGGCTAAGAGGTGATGGAGTGGGACCCTGTCTCAAAAAACCCAAAAGGTATGGTGGCGTACGCCTTTAATGACAGCATTTGGAGGCAGAGGCAGGTGGACCTCTGTGAGTTCAGGGCCAACCTGGTCTACACTCACGGAGTCCTAGATCAGCCAGGGCTGTATGGTGAAACCCTGACACCCAAAAAACAAAACAAACAAATCTCATGAGAGCCAGGCATGCTGGTACACACCCTTAATTCCAGCACTTGGGAGGCAGAGGCAGGCAGATTTCTATGAGTTCAAGGCCAGCCTGGTTCCAGGCCGGTCAGAGCTGCACAGTGAGACCCTGTCTCAAGAAAAAAAAAAATTAAAAAAGAAAAATCTCCTCAGAGCATCTGTAAGTAGCTGTTCATTCCGCTTCCACTGGTGGCCACAGTGGTTCATCTTGCCTCCTTTGGTGGCCACAGTGATGATCCCTCATATTGTCATGTTGCCCTCACCATGGGAGTTTAGTGGTGCCAGCCTAGGCTGAGAAGGGCTGCAGAGTCTGAGGCTCTGCACTGTTCTTGGTTTTTACTATATTTACTCTTTCTAACATCTTGAATCCCTAAAAAAAATACTGAGCTAGGTGACTGGAGAAATGGTGCAGTGTGAAAAGCATTGGCTGCTGTTCCAGAGGACCTGGGTTCAGTTTCCAGCACCTATATAGCAGCTCAGAACCAGTCTATAACTCCAGTTTCAGGGGATCTGTCACCGTCTTCAGGCCTCTGTGGGCAGTGCATGTGTGTGGTGCACAGACACATATGCAGGCAGAACACCCATGCACGTAAGATAAACATCAATCTTTAAAAGGGTCTTCAGTGTGTGGTGTGTGTGTGTGTGTGTGTGTGTGTGTGTGTGTGTGTGTGTGTGTGTGTGTGTGTGAGTGCTGGACTGAGTATTCCAGGCTAACCAGTCTTCCAGCTTCCCATCTCACAATAAGAGTGCGGAACTACAGATGCAGTTCACGTTGTTAAGTGATTTCTGGGATTGAGGTCAGTGTGTAGTCTTGTACAGTTAGCACCTTTACCTGTGAGTTATCTCCCTGGCCCATCCATCTTTAGCTCTACTTAGATTTCTTCAGTTTCTTGACCAGCCTCTGGAACACTAGACCCATCCCCCTGCTTCAGAGTATAAGTGGATTTGTAGATACTATTTAGCATGTTTATTTCTCGTCCTCACCCTCTGTAACTCTGTCCTAGGAAAGGACAGGTACTCAGAGGGGGATAATGTTTAGTACCACAGGACAGGGGGTTGAGTGGCACTGATATGGCTTATAGCATTGTCTGGGGTTTTGTGTAGAGCAAGTGGCATTGTTTCATTCTTTCTAAGTTCACATTGGCCCACTTTGGATTTTTCTTTCTTACTGTAGTTCAATGATCAATTGATCAGCCCCAAGCACTTTGTTCACCTGGCTGGCAAGTCCACTCTGAAGGACTGGAAGAGAGCCATCCGTTTAGGCGGGATCATGCTCAGGTGAGTGCTGGGACATCACATGCATCTCAATGCAGCACTTAGTCAGGGTAGAATCTTCCACACTCTTTGACCTTCATCGACTTTCCCGTAACCTTTTTTTTTTGCTTTGTGACACTAGGGTTGGAACCCAGGGCCTTGCGCATGCTACATAAGCACTCTACCACTGAATTATACCCCCTGTAGCCTCTAACTATTAAATCAAACTAATTAACCTTTCCCAGCATCTACACTCGATTTTTCATTCTTTCTTTTTAGGTTTTTAAGTCTCATTTAGGTCCGTTTAGCCCAGAACTTGCTGTGTAGCCGAGGCGGACGCCAGCATGCTTCGGTGCTGATGTCAGGGGGTTGGACCGAACCTTTTTTAGGCAGAGCAGCTCCGAGTAGCCGACTGTCCTCCCTGTCCTCACAGAGAGAGCCAAGCTGGGTGCTGAGCAAGTGCACCAGCGTGACTGACAGATCCTGGGATAGCCTGTTCAAATAGAAGACCACGGTTGAGAAATACCAGGCGTAATGTTTGCAGTCTTTGCCATCCCTGTCTAACAGACAGATGTCAGCATATGGAATAGCCCTCACCAGCAAGTTACCATTGCACTTTTCCCCCTTGAATGCATTAGTTAGTATGCCTTGAATGTTCACCTGCTGATAGAAAAAAAAAAGTAAATGTAAAGCCTGGGGCTGGAGAGATGACTCAGATATTAAGAGTTCTGGCTGCTCTTCTGGGTGGCCTGGGTTCAGTTTCCAGCACCCGCATGGCAGCTCACAACCATCCAGGGGAATCCGACACCTTCTTCTAGCCTTCATGGGAACCAGATGTACACATAGTACATAGACATACATGCAGGCAAAGCACCCATACACATAGAATTCTAAAAAACAAGTTTAAAAAAATTTTTTATTTGTTTTAATTTTATGTGCATTAGTATTTTGCCATGGGTGTCGGGTCCCCTGGAATTGGAGTCACAGACAGCTGTGAGCTGCCATATGGGTGGTGGGAATTGAACCCAGGTCCTCTGGAAGAGCAGCCAGTACTCTTGACTGCTGAGCCATCTTTCCAGACCCCTTAAAAACAAAAATTTTAAGGTCAAGAATTAGAAGTGTCCAGCCAGGTGTGGTGGCACCTTTAATCTCGGCACATGGGAGGCAGAGGCAGGAGGATCTCAAGTTTAAGGTCAAGCGTAGAAACAACACACAGAAAAGGGGCTGCTTCCGTTGGGTACAATTTCTCAGTGGTGGAGACACGTCCTCAACAGATCCTAGCCCTGGGCTCATTATAGTTGAAGGATTTGAGAAGAATGCCTTTCCTGTCCCTTCTGTTTTCTTCTTGACTTGTTTTATCTGCCCAGGAAGATGAGCATGTGCCAGTTTCCCCGCAGATGTTAAAAGGACTCAGATGCCTAGAGATCTATTAGTGAAAACCAAGTGACAGGATGACAGAGTGTGAAATGCTTCCTGGGTTTGCTCATGATCTGCAATAGTGGGTCTCATGGATTTTTGTTACAAGGACATTTTCCAGAAGGAATTAACATCATCAACATTGTACAGTATTTCTAGGAGACTTCTTTTTTGTTTGTTTGTTTTTTTTAAGATTTATTTATTTATTATGTACACAGTGTTCTGTCTGCACGTATCTCTGCAGGCCAGAAGAGGGCACCAAATCTCTTACTGATGGTCATAAGCCACCATGTGGTTGCTGGGAATTGAACTCAGGACCTTTGGAAGAGCAAGCAGTGCTCTTAACCTCTGAGCCATCTCTCCAGCCCCATGTTTGTTTGTTTTTGAGACAGGTTTTCTCTGTGAAGTCCTGGCTGTCCTGGAACTGGCTTTGTAGACCAGGCTGGCCTGGAACTCCCTGAGATCCACCTGCCTCTGCCTTCACTTCCTGAGTGCTGAGATTAAAGGCCCATGCCACCACTGCCCTGCCTCTAGGAGACTTCTACTTTTTTTTTTTTTAAGGTTTATTAATTTATTGTGTATACTGTATTCTGCCTGCACGTATCCCTGCAGGCCAGAAGAGGGCACCAGATCTCATTACAGATGGTTGTGAGCCACCACGTGGTTGCTGGGAATTGAACTCAGGACCTCTGGAAGAGTAGTCAGCTCTTAACTGCTGAGCCATCTCTCTAGCCCCATCTCTAGGAGACGTCTTGATTTTGTAAATTTTACTTACTTTCTGCTGTTCGATTGAACTGACAGCCTCCCACATGCTGGACAAGGAGTCTGCAGCTGTGCCATGGCTTCTCGCAGCTAGACTCTAGTCCCTCCCTCACTGTTTCCCTTTTTCCTTCCTCCCCTCTCTTCATTCCTCCGCGCCTCTTTGTCTTCTGAAATGTTTTATCTCTAAAAGTGGCAATAAACTAGGCCTTCTGGAACTGATACTAGCCAGGGGTGGTGGGTGGTGCCTGCTTCTTAGCTCAGTTCTTTTTTTTTTTTTCCCAGACAGGGTTTCTCTGTGTAGTTTTGGTGCCTGTCCTGGATCTCTATAGACCAGGCTGGCCTCGAACTCACAGAGATCTGCCTGCCTCTGCCTCCCAGCTGGGACTAAAGGCGTGCGCTACCACTGTCAGGCTTGTGGTTGTTTGTTTGTTTGTGAGACAGGGTTTCACTGTGTAGCCCAGCATTGCCTGGAACTTGCTGTGTAGACCAGGTTGACCTTGAACTCACTGGGCCTCTGCCTCTCAAGTGCCGGGACTTTCAGCTTTGGTTTTCAATGACATTCCTGACATTCTTAGTGTATCTAAAGCTTGGTGAAGAGTACTGATGCTGAGGAAACTCAGAAGAGAAATGGTGGTCAATGTGGGCAGGACTGATGGACGTTTTATAATTCCAATTAGAATTTTCACAGTGCGATGGCTTCAGATTTATTAGGCCCCTTTAATCTTCATCATGGACTCAGCAGATTGTTCCATCTGCCCCTTAGTTCTCATAGTTCCCATAGTTCTCATAGTTCTCATAGGTGAAACGTGGGCTCAACTGCTTCTTGTCTCTGGACAGGAAAATGATGGACTCTGGACAGATCGATTTTTACCAGCATGACAAAGTGTGCTCCAATACCTGCAGGAGCACCAAGTTCGACCTCCTCATCAGCAGCGCGAGAGCCCCAGTACCAGGCCAGCAGACCAGTGTGGTGCAGACCCCCACCTCGGCCGATGGTACGGGGTAGGAAACCACCCGGAAAGCTACTGCGTTCACCTGCCCTTCCCTCCTCACCCATTGCTTCTCCCTTGTGGCTTTGTTTTTGAGACCCTGTCTCACCGTGTAGCCCGGGCTGGACTTGTACTTCCTGTGATTTTCTTGCTTCTGCCTCCCCAGACAAACAAACCAACCACCATGCCTGGGCCCCCGGTATTTCTCTTTCCAGTACCTGTGAGCATTGATGTGCTTTGGTGCTGTGTTGTAAGGTATTACAGCAATCTCGGCTAGAGGCGTAAGCCCTGGAAACAGATTCCTTTTTTCCTCTTAAAATGACTCATTTTGTTTGGTTTGAGACTAGGTTTTTGTAGCCCAGGCTATCCAGGAACTCACTTTGTAGCCCAGGCTGACTTTAAATTCATGGCTGTTCTCCTCTCTCAACCTCTAGAATGTTGGGATTACAGGCTTGAATCACCTATGCATAGCTTATTCTCTCTTTTTTTGGGGGGTGTTTTTCCAGACAGTGTTTCTCTGTGCCGCCCAACAATCCTTTCTTTCTGCCTCCCAAGTGCTGGGATTAAAGGCATGTGCCACTATACTCAGCATGCCTGGCTATTTTAATTGATTCTATTTTGTTTGTTTTTTCCGAGACAGGGTTTTTCTGTGTAGTTTTGGAGCCTGTCCTGGAACTCACTCTGTAGACCAGGCTGGCCTCGAACTCATAGAGATCAGCCTGGCTCTGCCTCCTGACTGCTGGGACTAAAGGCGTATGCCGCCACCGCTGCCTGGCTTTAATTGATTCTTGTTGGCCAACTCTCTTTCTTGTTTTTTCTTTTCTTTTTTCTTCATCATCATCATCATCATCATCATCATCATCAATCCTGCCTGTGCATGCTAGGCACATTTTCTATCTCTAACTTAAATTTCCAGTATTCTTTGTTTGTCTTTGTTTTGGTTTTTGAGACAGGGTTTCTCTGTGTAGTCCTGACTGTCCTGGAACTAGCTCTGTGGACCTGGCTGGCCTCAAACTCAGAGATCTGCCTGCCTCTGCCTCCCCAGTACTGGAATTAAAGGCATGCGCCACCACCTGGCTTATTTCCAGCATTCTTCTTTCTTACAGTACGTGCCAAGCATTAGAGAGATGTTCTGTACTTACAGGGCTTATTCAGTGTTCTCACTTTCATGCCAGTCTCCAGGCGTGTCAAGGTTGAGTGGAGCCTTGGTAAGATTAGAAAGGTTGATTAGAATGACAAACATCTTCAAATGTTGAAGAGGCAGGCATCAGTGGCTGGGCTGAGCAGACCACCGCCTGAATCAGGCTGAGCAGACCACTACCTGAGTGAGCCCCAGCTTACCAACCTAGACTTCCTCACAGATGAGTAAATTGGGCACACACTCACCCTCAGGCTTTGTTTGTTTAGACGAGGCCTTCCTATAGAGCCCTGGCCGGCCTGAATTTGCTGTGTAGACCAGCTGAAACTTAGGGCCAACCTTCTGTCTTTTGTTGTTGCTGTTGTTTTCTTTTGATTTGATTTGTTTTGAGACATAGTCTGATCATGTAGTCCAAGCTGGCCTAGGACGCCTCCTGCATCTACCTCCTGAGTGCTGGGGTTCCAGGCCTGTGATACTATGCTCAACTGACCTTTAGTGCTTTTGAATTTGGGTCTGGGGCTCCTTCTTATCATCTAGGGGAGAGCGAGGAGGGAGGGAAAGAGAGGGAAAAGGAGAATATATATGAATATGAATTCTGGTGGATTTAGTCACGGCCTCTGGAGACACCACAGTTGTGTAAAATATGTCTCAGCTGCTATTATAAAGCCTTGGGTATGAGGGCACCAGGCTTTCTGCTTCAGCCTCCCAAGTGCTGGGATTATATATAGTCCTGACCCACCTCACATGTCTTTGTGGGGTTAATTTTGGTTTAGTTTTCGGTGAACTCACAAATTCTGAGAGTAACCAATAGGAGAGTAAAAACCAAATCTCTCAGAGCCTAAATGCCGTTTCAGGAACGTGTCTAGTGGAGAATTTTCATGTATTTGACTCTTGCTTAGAAAAGGAAGAATATTCCAAACTGATTGATTTTTATTCGTCAAGACTTTACTTGATTGTCCATGTCCTGCGATTTCTTTGGTTACTGCTGTCCTCTGGTATATAGAGCTCACGTGTGTCTTTATTGCTGTCTGAGCCACTTTGGTTTTTCTTAGTTTTTGTTCAGCTTTTTAGAGACAATTGAAAGGTAAAGTGTGTGAATGTGTGTGTTTTAAGATTTATTTGAATCGTGTGTGTATATGTGTGTCTGTGGTTTTATGTGCGTGTGTATGGGTGTGTTTGTGTGGGTATGTGCATATATATGTGGGTACCCATAGAAGCCAACAGAGTTGGATCCCCTTGGAGCTGGAGTTACAGACAGTTGTGAACTGCCTGATATGGGTACTGGGAACTGAACACCAGTCCTCTGCAAGAGAAATATGTGCTCTTAACCACTGAGCCATCTTTCCAGTTCCATGTCTGTGTCTATAATTCATGGATCTCTTATGTGATCTTTTTTTGTCTCTCTTTCTCTTGCTTTCTCATCCCAGGCTGGTTCATTAGCTCAGGCTGGTTCATTAGCTATGACAACTTCAGATATTCCAGATGCTTACATCAAACATGTTTATAGTAGGGCTCATGACAAGTACACTGTTTTGAAATGATCCTAGGTCTTTCTCATCCTCAGGAAGTCTTCAGTGGGTGGCCTGACAGGCATATCTACCCTTAGTCACTTTCAAAACATCTGCCTGCCTGGGAAGCAGACTGCCCTTGGAAGGTTTTGTTGTTGTTGTTGTTCTTTTTCTTTTTCTATTCAGAGTAAAAATAAAGCTTTTTCTTTGAAAGGCAAGTTTTCTTTAGGAAACTCTGTGTACATCCTGACTTACCTAGACATCTAGATTTTAAAATATAGACACTAGGCAAGAGGCAGCATGCTAAAAATCACATGGTTTTTCTGTCTTTATGAGAGAGGATACTGACTTTTCCTCACAAAATTGATGGCTTTGTTTCTAACGGACCCTGCTTAGGTAACATCACACAGATTGCCATCTCAGAGGAGAGCATGGAAGAGGCTGGGCTGGAGTGGAACTCGGCTCTCACTGCCGCTGTCACCATGGCCACAGAGGAGGGCATCAAAAAAGAATCGGAAGAAATTTCAGGTACTTTCCTGTGTAGCCCCGTCCTCCTGTGTAGCCCTGACTTCCTGTTGGTGTAGGATCTCTTCTTATGTCTGCTTGTCTTCCGCAAAAAGATGAGTACTAACTATAACTGGGATCATCTCCTTTTAAATCTCATTTTGCACATGGAGGGATTGAGATTTAAGGTGGTCCATGTCAGAGCTGAACTGTTTGGTTGTTTGACTCCATTGTCCATGCTTTTCTTATTACCAGCTGTCCCCATCTCTGGGTCATTTCTTAGGTAAATCAAACTTGGAGATGTTAGAAGGAAAAATTAGGTAGCAGGTAGCATAAAGTATATGACTATTAATTCCCTTAGAGGGGACCAGGAAAAGCTTCCTCACTTTTCCCTTCTCATCATTCATTTAATAAATATCTGTTGCCTGTTGGACACTGTTGCTGTTTGCTGGATACGCACATGAAGAGACTTAGCTGCTACCCTAGGGAAACCTGCAGACCCTCCCACCCAGCTGTTTGGTCTAGCGTCGAATAGAGGGAATATCTTTAATTAATATTTAGCTCAATATCTTTATTAGCTAACCTTTATAAAATTAAGTCTTATCTAATTGAAAGCAAAATTAAAATTGAATTATTCAAGTAATACTTAGTCTTAAATATTGAATGCCTGTTTAATATTTAACTGAATATCTTTATTGGACTGAGATGTCTGTTTTGATAGCCAGAATCATAACAAATCAAGGGCATGACAAATTGAGGCAGGCAATTATCCCAAGCCCCTAGTGACTGAAGGGGCTAATAATTAGGTACCAACTCCTGGAGGCAGCCAGTCTTCCGTGTTTTAGTACAGAATCCTTTCGAATTGGAATTAACATTATAGACAGGTGCTGAGGCGTTTGGGTAATATCTCTGTCTACCTTCTGTCTCCTCCCTCTTGCACCAGAGGACACTTTGATGTTCTGGAAAGGAATAGCTGATGTAGGGTTGATGGAGGAGGTCGTCTGTAATATACAGAAGGAGATAGAAGAGCTGCTCAGGGGCGTTCAGCAGCGGCTCCTCCAGGCTCCCTTCCAGGTCACAGGTAAGTGCACTGAGCCTGGTAATAGCCTTCAGTTTTGAATACTCACAACTGCGAGGCAAAGGTATCGTTATCTTCGTATTACAGATAAGGAAAGTAAAGCTCATAAAGTTACGTCACTGTCTTTTTGTGGTTCCTGACAGTGTTTTGTTCATGTATGTGGTCCTGGGGATTTAATGTGGCCTCAGCACACTAGGCAAGCACTCTTCTACTGAGGTATAGCCCTAGCCTTATTTTATTTTGTTTGTTAACTGGGTTTTAAACTTTAGTTTGGTCAACCTTGTTTTAAAGATTTTATTTTTATTTTTTAAGAATGTTTTTTAAAGTTTCTATTACTGTGATAAAAAACAGCATAACAAAAGCAGCTTGGGTGTGTGAGGGGGAAGGGTTTATTTATCATATGCTTTTAGGTCACACTCTATCACTGAGGGAAGTCAGGGCAGGAACTCAGACAGGGCAGATGTAGCTAGAGTTTGCCTGCCTGGCCCACAGTCAGGACAAATCTTTCTCACCCACCAGTCCCACAGCTGCTCAGACCCGACCAAGTAAACACAGAGACTTATATTGGTTACAAACTGTATGGCCGTAGCAGGCTTCTTGCTAACTGTTCTTACAGCTTAAATTAATCCATTTCTATTAATCTATACCTTGCTACGTGGCTTGTGGCTTACCGGCATCTTCTCTTCACATGCTGTTTGTCATCATGGCGGCTGGCAGTGTCTCTCTGACTCAGCCTTCCACTTCCCAGAATTATTCTCCTCCTTGTCCCGCCTACACTTCCCCCTTCCTGACTACTGGCCAATCAGTATTTTATTTACTAAGCAATCAGAGCAAAACATTTGTCATATAGAACATCCCACAGCAGGCAGGAACCTAAGCAGAGGCCATGGAGGAGTGCTGCTTACTGGCTTGCTCCTCATGGTTTGTTTAACCTGCCTTCTTATAGCACCTAGGACCACCAGTTAAGGGGTGACACTGCTCACAGTGAGCTGGACTCTCTCATATCAATCAACAGTCAAGAAAATGCTTCATGGACTGGAGAGATGGCTCAGTGGTTAAGAGCATTGACTGATCTTCCAGAGGACCAGAGTTCAATTCCCATCACCCACATGACAGCTCACAACTGTCTGTAACTCCAGTTCCAGGGGATCCAACGCCCTTACAGACATACATTCAAGCAAAACACCAGTGAACTTAAATAAAAATTAAGAAAAAAAAGAAAGAAAATGCTTCATGCTAGGCCATGGTGGTGGCGCATGCCTTTAACCACAGCATTCTGGAGGAAGAGCAAGCAAATCTCTGAGTTTGAGGCCAGCCTGGTCTACAGAGCTCCAGGATAGCCAGGGCGCCACAGAGAAGCCCTGTCTTGAAAAACAGGCTTGTTCACAGACCACTCTGATGGGAATATTTTCTAAATTGTGGTTTTTCTCTTCCAAAATGATTCTAGCTTGTGTTGAGTGACATAAAACGCTTTAGCACACATGTCTATGTGTGTCTGTTTGTGTGTGGGTGTGTGCACATGAATCCAAGTGCTCGTGGAGGACAGAGGTGTCAGTCGCCCTGGAGCTGGCAGTTGTGCACCACTTGATGTAGGTGCTGGGAACGTAACTCAGGTCTTCTGGAAGAGCAGTAAGTGTGCTCTTAACCACTGAGCTGTCCGTCTCCCTACCCCCTGTGGTCTTGAAGCAGGACTTCATGTAGCCCAGGCTGGCACTGAGTTCTCTACGTATCACAGGCTGTAAACACCTGATCCCCTCCTTTAGTCTCTCTCAAGTGCTGGGATACAGCACTCCCAAATGTCTGCTTTGTCCTTTTAAGTTGTGCCAAAAAAACACTCTCTCCCCATCCCCCTTTTACCTTTATTTTGATATATGTGTAATGTATGTACATATAGATATATATGCATATGCACATGAAACACATGCATAATCTGGAGATAGGTGAAATCCACAGGGTTTAGATTAGCCTCACAGTCTATTAATTTAAGGCCTTGTGAACTGTGTGTTCACTTACAGCTATTTTAGATATTCTCGAGGTTATTGCTGTTGTACTGAGTATAAAGGGTATTTTGTTCATACACATACGGTTATGATGAGGCTTCACAGCTTGTATGTTCACTGACTTCTTCGACTTGTTCTTACTCTATTTCTTTTTAGATTTATTTGCTTGTTTATTTGTTTGTTTATTTTGGTTTTTCAAGACAGGGTTTCTCTGTGTAACAGCCCTGGCTGTCATGGAACTCACTGTGTAGACCAGGAATCCTCCTGCTTCTGCCTCCCAAGTGCAGGTGAATCTCTGTGAGTTCGAGGCCTGCCTGGTCTACAAAGTGAGTTCCAGGATAGGCTCCAAAAGCTACACAGAGAAACCCTGTCTCGAAAAATAAAACAAAACAAAAAGTTGTGCACCACCTTATCCCCCTTCAATGTGTATTTTTTGTGACAGTGTCCCGTGTGTCCCAAGCTGCCCTCTGACTTTATATAGCCAAGGTCAACCTTGAATTTCCATCCTCTGACCTCCCCTGCTGAGTGCTGCCTAGAGGCCTGAGCCAGGAAATCTACCTTTACTTACATTTATTTGTTTGTTTGTTCATTTCTTTCCTTGGAGAGGGCAGTATCCATACCATAGTGCATATGTGGAGGCCAGAGGACAATGTGCAATTTTTTCCGTCTATCAAGCAGGTCCCAGGAATCAAACTCAGATCTTTGGGCTTGGCACCAAGCACCTTTCCCTGCTGAGCCCTCTCACTGGCCCTGTTTACTTATTGTTTGGGCCCTGGAAATGAAAGCTAGGGCTTTGCATATGCCAAGGAAATGCTCTGTCACAGAGCTAACTCCCACCCTGGTGTAAATCAATGTGTGCTTGGAATGTAACACAAGCAGATAATACAGAAAGCTAAGGTAATTGTTTTCATAGTAGTTAAGAAAGGCCTTTGAGGGCACTGACCTTTGAGAAGAATCTGAATTTTAGAAGTTAGGCATGTAATGAGCTGGGAGAAAGAAACTTTCAGGCAGAGAGATCAAAGATCTTGGAGTGACAATGTCTGGTGATTACAAAGAATTATAGGAAGCTGGGTGGTGGTGGTGCACGCCTTTAATCTCGCACTTGGAAGGCACAGGCAGACAGATCTCTGTGAGTTTTGAGGCCAGCCTGGTCTACAAAGTCTACAAATTGAGTTCCAGGACGTCCAGGGCTGTCACACACACACACACACACACACACACACACACACACACACACACACAGAGAATTATCGGAAAACCCATTGTAACTGTTGCAGTGGATAAGGCATTGGTAAGGCTGAGGGTGCAGATAGGTAGGGCCTGTGTTGTTGTTTGTTGAGATAGGGTCTCTACATAGCCTTGGCTGTCCTGAAACTCACTATGTAGGCCAGGCTTGCCTTACTGTTATCATTCCCTCCTGAGTTCTGGGAAAGGTATGTGCCACCACACCCAGCCATTTATTGGTTGTTTTTTTTTGAGACAAGGTTTCATCTATAACCCAGGTTGGCCTTCAATTCCAGACAGTGATTTCACCTCAGCCTCCCAAATGCTGGATTACAGGTATGAGCTGTCATACCCGGCCTATTAGATTATTTGGAGAGGGAGTCTCACCATGTTGCCCAGGCTGATCTCAAATTGTCTTGCTTTAGCCTTCAGAATAGCTGGGGCTAGAGCTGTCCATCACCACACCCAGATTTTACCATCCTGTTTTCTAAACATGGGTCAGAATTTATAACTCGATGCAAAATTTAGAGTTTTTATTGTTTTCCTTTTGTGGGGTTTTGTTTGTTTTAAGATGGGGTTTTACTATATAGCTTTGGCTATCCTGGAACTTGCTATGTGGACCCGGCTGGCCTTGAACTCAACAGAGATCTGCCTGCCTCTGCCTTTCAAGTGCTAAGATTAAAGGCATGCACCATTATGCCTGGATTTTTTTTTTTTTAAAGATTATTTATTTCACCTATTTCTGTATTTTTGCTTTTTGTCTTTGCAGTGGTAGGGATAGGAGCAGCATGCTGCCACTACCCTACCACTGTGTCATACCCTGTTTTATTGTTTATGTAGGAAGATCTTCCAATGTGTTACAAAACCAAAATTAAATACATATGATAAATCTGCCATAAAAAAACTTGCTAGCCTGGGCTGGAGAGATAGCTCAGAGGTTAAGAGCACTAGCTGCTGCTCTTCCAGAGGTCCTGAATTCAATTCCCAGCAACCACATGATGGCTCATAACCATCTATAATGAGATCTGGTACTCTCTTCTGACCTGCAGGCAGAACACTGTACACATAATAAATAAATAAACCTTAAAAAAAACAAAAAAACTTGCTAGCCAAGCAGTGGTGATCCATGCCTTTAATGCCAGCACTCAAGAGGCAGAGGCAAGCAGATCTCTATGAGTTTGAGACCAGTCTAGTCTACAGAAGAGTTCTAGGACAACCAGAGCTGTTACACAGAGAAACCCTCTCTCAAAAAACCCAAATGGGACAAACAAACAAATAAATAAACTGCCAGGCATGGTGATAAGTACCTATCATCCCAGAACTAAAGTTGTAGAAGTAGGAGTTCAAGGCTATCCTGGGCAAGTTTGAGGCCAGCCTGGGCAATGAGATCCTTTCTGAAAACCACCACCACCACCACCACCACCACCACAATTACTGAAATGTGTTTAAGAGAGTTCCATAATTTCTTTGTTCTTATCCTTGTTGGGAGTGAGGGAAGGTGTGATCAAATCAGAGGCTCAGGCTGGCCTAGAAGTCACTCCATAGCTTAGGCTAGCCTTGAATTACTGATCATACTGCCTCCATCTCCTGTGTTGGGATTACAAGCATGCAGCACCACTCTGGGTTTCTGGGTTCTTTCAGATCTATAACTATCACATCAGGGGGCTGTTTAGACTCTACAGGCCTGTGCTTTGTTTCAAATAGATGCTGCTGTTCTAAACAATGTGGCACATACATTTGGCCTAATGGACACAGTCAAGAGAGTTTTGGACAACAGACGGAAGCAAGTGGAGCAGGGAGAGGGCCAGTTTCTCTACACCCTGGCAGGTACGTGGGCATGTGCTAGTCTTGAGTGCTGTTTGAAGGGTTGATGTGTCACTAGGTGTTCTAATAATCTCGGAAAGTTGGTGGCAGGAGACACCATCAGCTTTCCTTTTATTACATTATTGATAGGGCTCTTTTGACTATAGATTTTGTACATTTTCCATTGTTTGTCATAGTCATAAATTATGACTAGGGTGATGGCTGGCTGAGTTGGTAAAATGTTGCCCCTGTACGCATGAGGACTTCATATTTGAATCCCCAATGCGAACATGAAAAATTCAGGTTCAGGGCATGCATCTGCAGTCCCAGTATTGGGGAAAAGGAGACAGGTGGATGCCTGGAACTCGGTGGCTGGACAGCCTAGCCAAATTGAGGAGTTCTAGGTTCAGTGAGAGACCCTGTCTCAAAAAATAAGGTGGGGAGTCACCAAGGAAAACATCCAGTACCCACACACATGGGTACACCCCCACATAAACACATCCCTGCGCCCCAAACAGTAAATCTGTAACAAAGTAGTCAGAAACTATGAGCGCCCAGGTCTTTGAACGCAGCTACTCTGTTCATTTCGAAACAAGGGTTTAGAGCCACATATGGGGCCGGGCGGCGGCGGCGGCTGCTGCGCACGCCTTTAATCACAGCACTCTGGAGGCAGAGCCAGGTGGATCTCTGTGAGTTCAAGGCCAGCCTGGTCTACAGAGCAAGATCCAGGACAGGCACCAAAACTACACAGAGAAACCCTGTCTCAAAAAACCAAAAAACCCAAAAAACTACAATATGACATAAAATAGTCTCTGTCTCTTCAGGGTCTTTAAGGAACTTAAGGAAAAACAGAGACAAATAACCACAAGGAAACAGTTGGGTTTGTAGGTGTGATGGAAGAAGAAAGGGACTTTTCCCTTAGACCTGGAGGGAACTGAGAAGATTCGGAGGATGGAGTCATAGCTCCGTTGTAGAACGTGTGCTTTGCATGTGCAGTGCCTTGGATTTGATCCCAACCACTGCACAAGAGATAGGAAGAGGGAAGGAGAGAGTATGAGAATAATTTTAGGGGGAGATAAAACAGGTTCACAGTGTAAATTGAGTAGAGGTGTCGATGAGCAGCCTTTGAGTAACACCGCAGACTACCTTCCAGACAGTCAGGATTTGAAAGGAAAGAAAAATCACTTTAGCATTGGTCTGGTGGTGCACACCTGTGTCTTCCCTGCTGCCCTGAAGACTGAAGAGGAAGAACCTGACTGAGTTCAAAGTCTGCCTGGCCTATATAGCAACATCAAGGTCTACCTGGACAATTTAATGAAAATAAAATGTAAAGAGAAAGCTATGGAGTAACTCACTATACAGAGCCCTTGGGTTCAACTGCCAGTACTGTCAAACATAAAAAGGAGAACAGTGGGCATGGTGATACATGCCTTGACTCTCAGCACTGGGGAGGCACAGGCGGGTGGATCTCTGAGTTCAAGGCCAGCCTTGTCCACATAGTGAGTGCCAGGACAGCCAGGGCTACATAGAGAGACTTTGTCTCAAAAAAACACAAAATGAGAAATTTTTTAAAAAGAATTATTTAAAAAAGAAAGAAAGAATAAGTAAGCTGAGTATTACACCCATAATGCCAGCAGTTGAGGGGTTGAAGCAGGAGGACTTGAGATCATCAGCCTGAGTCACATGACAGAGGCCTGTCTTTCAAGAAAAAGAGTGCAGTGAGATGGCTCAGAGGGTGGAGGTTCCGCCACGAACCTCCACCAGGCTTGATGACCTGATGCTGGACCCCACATGGCGGGAGGAAACAGATTCCTGCAGCCTGTTTTCTGATCGCCAGTGCACGTGGTGGCACAGGTGTGCTGCACAGATATATACCCCTGTTCCCTGCAAAGTGAATGCCAACAACTTCTAGGAAAAGGTCAGGTGTAGGGATGCATGGCTGTCATCCCAGCAGTGGGGAGGTGGAGCCAGGAGAAACAGAAGTTCAAGACCATCCTTGGCTCCCTGTTGAGTTTGAGGGGCCATTTAAGGCAAACACAGGGAAGGGGATAGTAGTTGAGGTTTTTAAAGTGTTCCCTCCTCCCCACCCCCATGCTGGGGATCAGACCAAGGACTTCCTTCATGCTAGGCAAATACTCTGTCCAGAGCTACATTCCCAGCATGCTTGAGGGTTAGTTTTATTCAGTTCCCTTTTTTTTTTTTTTTTTTTTTTTCCGAGACAGGGTTTCTCTGTGTAGCTTTGTGCCTTTCCTGGAACTCGCTTTGGAGACCAGGCTGGCCTCGAACTCAGAGATCCGCCTGCCTCTGCCTCCCGAGTGCTGGGATTAAAGGCGTGCGCCACCACCGCCCAGCCCAGTTCCCATTTTAAACTGTTCACTGAACGTTGGTCCCACTGTTAAGATGACCGTCCTCCCGCTCCTGCAGAAGGACTGACAGGAGGAGGAGGAGTTACCCAAGGCCACATCAGACTGGCCAGCGAAGCTTGGAGGACTCTGTCCTTTATCCTAATTCAGGACTGATGCACTGTTGGAAACTTTTGTTTTGTTTTTGTTTTTTGTTTTTCAAGACAGGGTTTCTCTGTGTAGCCCTGACTATCCTGGAACTTACTTTGTAGACCAGGCTGGTCTTGAACTCACAGAGACCTGCCTGTCTCTGCTGGGATCAAAGGTATGTGCCTCCACCCCACCCCCACCCCCACCCCCTGGCTGGTTTATTTTCTTTTAATTTTTTTTTTTTTTAAATTTATTTATTTATTACGTATACACTCTTTTTCCTGCAGGCCAGAAGAGGGCACCAGATCTCATTATGGATGGTTGTGAGCCACCATGTGGTTGCTGGGAATTGAGCTCAGGACCCCTGGAAGAGTAGCCAGTGCTCTTAACCACTGAGCCATCTCTCTAGCCCAAAGTTTGTTTTTTTGTTTTGTTTTGTTTTTTTGTTTGTTTGATTTTGGTTTTTCGAGACAGGGTTTCTCTGTGTAGCTTTGCGCCTTTCCTGGAACTCACTGTGTAGCCCAGGCTGGCCTCGAACTCACAGAGATCTGCCAGGCTCTGCCTCCCGAGTGCTGGGATTAAAGGCGTGCGCCACGGCCGCCCGGCTGGTTTAAATCTTCTTCTTCTTCTTCTTCTTTTTTTTGGGGGTGGTTTTTTCAAGACAAGGGTTTCTCTGTGTAGCTTTGCATCTTTCCTAGAACTCACTCTGTAGCCCAGGCTGGCATCGAACTCACAGAGATTCACCTGCCTCTGCCTCCCAAGTGCTGGGATTAAAGGCTTGCATCACCACCGCCCGGCTTTAAATGTTCTTTTTTTTTTTTTTTTTTTCTTTTTTCGAGACAGGGTTTCTCTGTGTAGCTTTGCGCCTTTCCTGGAACTCACTTGGTAGCCCAGGCTGGCCTCGAACTCACAGAGATCCGCCTGGCTCTGCCTCCCGAGTGCTGGGATTAAAGGCGTGCGCCACCACCACCCGGCTTAAATGTTCTTAAATGATAGATTTAATTGATAAAGTCAGTCGGGGAGCCAGCCAGTCTAGCTTAATTGGTAAGTTGCAGGCCAATGAGAGACTGTGTCTTGAAGGAGAGAGACACTTGTTTGTCCTCTTGTCTGCACGTGCATCCACATATACATGCTCATACATGTGCACTTATACACACAAACAAACCACAAAAGGTAAAAGAAAAATGTTAGACTATGCCTCGTAACTATGTACAGTTGAAAATAGATACAAGTGTGGCTGAAAAGACAGCTCAGCATTTAGCAGCATACTTCCCCCTCTTCCAGAGAATCTTGGTTCTGTTAGTGGCTCACAACCACCTATAACTCCAGCTCTGGAGTCTCTGATGCACTCCCTGGCCTCAGCAGGCACCTGCACTCACGTGTGCACTCACATGTACACACATGCACACACATGCACATGTACAGGCACACACATACAAATAATTTAAAATTTAATTTAAAAAATATATATGTGTATGCTGGGAGATGTAGCTCAATGCTAAAGCGTGTCCTTAGTATGCCAGTGGCCCTGGGTGTAAATCACATACTTGTGAAAAGGAAAAAGACCATGTGAGACTTCTTTGATTTGTATTTTGCCAAGAGGTGAAAAATTTGTTAGAGGAGCATGTTGGGTTGAGTAAAGTAAGATCAGTTTTAAAGGACTCTGAACTGTTGCCCTGCCCATAATCATGCCATTCATTGCAATTACTGAAGGGTTAAAAAAAAAGTCATCTCCACAAGTCATTTGGGAAACAGTGGTATGACTTGCCTGAGGCTACACAGTGTAAGACTACTGACAAGACCCTGTGTCTCCTGACCCCCTGCCTAATGTCCCCAAGATGATTTCTTTCCACAAACTCTAGCTGTTTGTATGTTTTGTTTTGTTTTTTCCCCCATAGACTTGGAACGGCAGTTGGAAGAGCAAAAAAAGCAAGCTCAAGATCCTAGACTGAAATCCCAGACGGTTCAAAATGTGGTACTAATGCCTGTGAGCACCCCAAAGCCTCCAAAAAGACCCCGGCTCCAGCGGCCAGCCTCCACCACTGTCCTGAGCCCTTCTCCTGTCCAGCAGCCTCAGTTCACTGTCATCTCACCTATCACCATCACCCCCGTGGGGCAGTCCTTCTCGATGGGCAATATTCCGGTGGCTACACTCAGCCAGGGCTCCAGTCCTGTGACTGTCCATACGCTGCCTTCTGGCCCTCAGCTCTTCCGCTATGCCACAGTGGTTTCCTCTGCCAAGAGCAGCTCACCAGACACAGTGACCATCCACCCTTCATCGAGCTTGGCACTGCTAAGCTCCACCACTATGCAGGATGGGAGTACCCTGGGCAATATGGCCACCATGGTGAGCCCTGTGGAGCTGGTGGCCATGGAGTCCGGCCTGACTTCAGCAATCCAGGCTGTTGAAAGCACCTCGGAGGACGGGCAGACCATCATCGAGATTGACCCGGCCCCAGACCCTGAGGCTGAAGACACTGAGGGCAAAGCCGTCATCTTGGAGACAGAGCTGAGGACTGAGGAGAAAGTGGTGGCTGAAATGGAAGAACACCAGCATCAAGTCCACAATGTGGAGATTGTGGTCTTGGAGGACTAACTGGGGATGGGGGCCGAGAGCTATGTTTTGGTTTGGGATTTTAATTATGTTTATTTTTATCATTGTCCCACTCATTTCCACATAGAACCTTTTTTTAAAAAAACAAACAAACTACAAAATCTTGTTGTAACTGACAATGTTGGGTTCCTCCTACCCCCTCACTGGCAAATGGACAGAACAAGCTACCTTTCCAGAAGTTAGGAACAGGTCATCCGGTGTCCTACTCATCTTCCCCCAAGGAAGGTATTGCTTTTAGGGGAGGTGTCAAAGTAACCAAGAACCCTTTCCAGAATAGTCTGTTTGTATACACATGCATGGTTTCACTCTTGTAAAGATGCATTGACCAAACTCTGGAACACAGACCTGACACCGGAAGACGACCAGCTCTCGCGTGGATACAGAAATGCACTTGCCTCTGTATCCTGGATATGGCCTCAGAGGCCAATGCAAAACTCTGAAACAAAAGGAAGTTGAACTCTGCTTAGAGCAGAGAGCAGCATGCCATCAGCAGCTTAAAACGGGAAGTCCTTTGACAAGGAGGGGGCAAGGAATGATCTTCCAGAGGTGCATCCGATGCCTCTCAAACTCTTTGAGGGTTGGGTACCGTTTTGAGAAGAGGCCAGTAATATACAGAAGGCCACACAGCAATCAAGGGATTGTCACAGCTGTGCATTTGGGATAGCTCACCTTGCCCCCAGCCTTGTCAAAGCGCTCACCCTCCTCACCGAGGATTATTAGTCCATTCCTTTGCAGACTGTGATGTGGTGTAAATTGCTCTAGTTCTTGGACTGTGGCTATCATGGGGTGGGGCTCCAAGCCATCCATCATATTGGTTTCTTGACTCCAGGAATGGCAGAGTTCCTCATGCCGACCAGCTGCTATTTCCGGGAGCCCTGCGTACAAGTGTGTGTGGTGTGGTGTGGTTTTGGTGTGTGTGTGTGTACATATTTTGGCTTTGGAACCAAAAGCAGTCACTCACTTGGTGCTTCCCCTTCTCTTCATCCTGCAGTCTCCAGATCCCATGCTCTGCAGCTTTTGGCTGATTTGGAGAACAGGGACAGGTGCCTGCCTGCCTTCATTCCCTGTGAGAGTCACTTCTGTTTATGCCGCAGATGCTTCTGGGAGATACCGAGCTCATAAAAAGGCTTGGGCTTGGCAGGGAAGACTGGAAACACCCCTAGCCTTTCCTGAGGCATGGACTAGAAGTCTCCTGAGTGAGCAGGACTCCCTGGGAAAGAAACTGTGTCTGTCACAACTTTGTCTGGGGTGGGGGCTTCTTCCCAAGTGCTGCTTGTCCATTTCGACCTGGGTCACTTTCCACGCGGTGATCCTTTCTCTAGACCCCTTTTCAGTGTTGGGGAAGAGTGGACAGTGTGAGTTCTTTAATTATATTGCTTACTGTACTAGGGAAAGCAGACACTCTACAGATGACTTAAAGAGTAGCCAGAAAGGCACACAGCTTAGGAGTTAGAACATTTATTATTTATTATTAAAAGTAAAATTTTGACCTTAGTTTCTTTAAAAAAAAAATTAGAGAAGGATGCCTACCTAAACCCGTCTTCCTACCTGGAGGTTTCAGACACTATACTCAAATGAAAACGTCCTTCCATCTCTTAGATGGCCATATATAGCCAGAGAAGCCCTCAGGTCACTCTGAAGACCCTAAGTGTGTTTCAGCTTTAAAGCTGGACTTTTCAGAATACTGAGTTGGGCTGGGGACAGAGCTCAGCTGGTAAAGTGCTCACCTAGCATGCATGAAACCCTGGCTTCAGTCTCTACCGTGAAATAAACGGCCTGGGGGTGGGGTGGGGGGTCGGCACATGCCTTTGATCCTTGGGAAGTAGAGACAGAAGACTCAGAAATTCAAGGTCATTCTCAGCTCTGTAGCAAGTTCAAGACTAACCTGAGATACATAAAATGCTGTCTCAAAAAAAAAAAATCTGTTTTGAACAAGCTTTTGGTCCTTTATACATTTTTAGTGAAGGAACTGGAATTGATTTCCCTGCTTCCTTAGGTTTTCTGTTAATACATAAGAATTTTTATTACACTTATTTATCCGTGTGTGTGTGTGTGTAGTGGAGAGCTTGCTATGGTGTCTGTGTGGAGGTCAGAGAACAACCTGCAGGAGTCTCCTTCCATCATGTGTGTCCTGGGGATTGAACTCAGGTTGCCAGGCTTGGTGGCAAGCACCCTCGTCCTCTGAGCCATCTTGCCAGCCCTAAAAGTTCCAGGCTAAGTCTGAAACTATTACTTGAACCTAGAAAGCCACATATTCTTGTGCTCTTTAGGTCATTTCTCTTTCCCAGAGATGAGAGGACCAATTCAGGACAAGGGAGGAGCCCTAGAGAATAGAGACAGTCCTGCTCAGGTCCTTCCTTTTGCTCATTACAGCTGTTGGAGAATAAAGGTCGTGTGAGCACCATGCTTCCAAAGTCAGATGTCCTTTTGAGACAGAGCCTGTTTACTTTAATCATTCTGGCAGGTGGATTACATGAGCTTTGCTGTTTTCCTGGTCTTCCAAATGCTGTCGTTGCTAGCTGCTGTGGTACTCGTGAGGAAGAGATCTCTCACCCATGGTCTAGATTATTTCAGATGGGGTGAGACCCATGCAAGTTACTGATGTGTGAATAGGCAGTTGCAATGAAATTACTCCTCAGGCTGACTTGATGGTAGCTATCTTTTCTCTAGCCATTCATTAAATAAACATTTGTAAGTACCATGTATGTATAAGTACTGCACGCTAACCGATTGCGCCACCGGAGCCTCGGGAAATACCATGAAAATGCAGCTTCTATGCTAGACATTGACCTTGCAGACAATCCCTGTTCTCAAGGGGTTCATACCCAGACCTCGTCTGCAGTTAGCTGCAGTTCAGTGTCTTTGGTTTCTTTTGTAATCCTGTTTTATCTTCAGCATTGAGAAACATTCTGAGACCTCAGTTCCTAGGTTTTGGCAGGCTGGCAAAGTCACAGAGGTGAAGCCACCCCTAGAGAGCTACTACATCAAATCATTGTGTTGGGGTGAGTGTAGCCTTGGGCTGTTGGCCTGGAGTTAAGGACAAAAGATCAAGCACCTGACTCAGCTTGGAGTGTGAATGGGGATCAGCAAATCTGAGACAGTCTCTTGGAGAAGATGTGTGCACAAGCTTATTTTCAAATACTTGGGCTGTGGGCTGCGTATACAAGAGTAGAATTCTCTAGTCCCGCTTGCTGCTTCTGCTGGAAGACCCAGGTCCTCAGTCAGTGACACTGTTTACTGGAAGCACCCACTGGAGAAAGTGGGGCACACCTGAGCTGGTAATCATCAGATGGGTCCTGGAGCTTGATCTAGGGTGTGGCTGGGGTTTCCCTGGTAGAAGTGAATCTCTGAACTTTCTTGTTTTTCAAAAAGACCTTATTGTGCACTTGTCTAGTCCCTGATCCTGCCTGGTTCCTGCCCTGTCACCCTGTTCTTGCCCCCTCCCCCGCCCCCCGCCATGTCTCTTTTTCTTTCTGGACAGGGTCTCTGTGTAGCCTTGCTTGACCTAGAATTAGCTCTGTAGACCAGCCTGGCCTTGAACTCAGAGATCCATCTGTCTCTGCCTCCCAAGTGCTGGGATTAAAGCATGTGCTCACCACACCTCCTCAATTTCTAGGATTCCAGAGAGGGTGTTGCATGCTTACCTATAATCCCAGCACTAGGGGGCAGATGCAGGAGGATAGCATCAAGACATTGCCTCACAAAACAAAAATTTAGGCTCCCATACCCCAAAACAAAAAGTTTCTCTGCTTTTTTGTGCCTCCCCCATGAACAATAGACATTCGAGATTCAAAGCCACTTCAGTGTGTACTTCCCTCACCCCCCTGCCGTGGTAGTAGGGGGAACCAGTATTAATGAAAATATCTTGGAAATTAATATTCAGGTGATTCTTTTCATGTTGGTGTTTTATTCCAGTTCACGTAAGACTCTGAAGGTAAGTGTGTATAGAGAGTACTGGTTTTATTTACTAAAAATTTACAGTGTGTGTGTGTGTGTGTGTGTGTGTGTGTGTGATGCCAGGGTACACAGTGTCTTGGTCAAATGATAACTTTCAGGAGTCAGTGTGCTCCCACCACGAGGTGGGTTCCAGGCATCAAATTCAGTTCACCAGGCTTGGCAGGCAGACACATTTATTTATTTATTTGCTTTATTCATTTATTTATTTATTTATTTATTTATTTATTTATTTATTTATTTTTCCTTTCCGGAGCTGAGGACCGAACCCAGGGCCTTGCGCTCTACCACTGAGCTAAATCCCCAACCCTAGGCAGACACTTTTAATTACTGAACTGTCGCTGGCCCAAGATGTTTGTTTGTTTTAATTTTTTTAATTTTTATTTTATGTCTATAAATTTTTTCTTGCGCTGGGCGTTGGTGGCGCACGCCTTTAATCCCAGCACTTGAGAGGCAGAGGCAGGCAGATCTCTGTGAGTTCGAGGCCAGCCTGAGCTACAGAGTGAGTTTCAGGAAAGGTGAAAAGCTACACAGAGAAACCCTGTCTCAAAAAACACCAAAAAAAAAAAAATTTTTTTTTCTTGCAAGTATATATGTACACTATATGCATGCCTGATGTCTGAGGAGGTCAGAAGAGGGTTTCAGATCCCCTGGAACTAGAGTTAGGGATGTTAGCCACCATGTGGGTGATGGAAACCCAACCCAGGTTCTCTGGAAGAGCTAATGTTCTTAACTACTGAGCCATCTCTTCAGCTGATGTTTAAGTAGCAAAAGTCCGTCATGAAATACTGAGTCACGGAGTCAGAACTGATCCAGAATGGAGGACTATCTAGGGGGTAGAAAAGGCACCCCCCCCCAAAAAAAAAGGTTGAATTCCGAAAATAGGAATGAAGTGGTTTGTTTCGGTCAATATTTACTGAGGATCAAGTCAGTTAAGAGGAAGTGGACTCAGGCTACCCCTGCACTTCTGGAAGATTTCCTAGTATAGGTGATCACTGGGAGGCGAGACAGATCCCTTCCACCTAGAATAATTCTTCCCTGGGAAATCCTGCTGGAGATAGGAGTGTGCTTCAACAGCCCTTGCCTGGCAAGCACTGGAATTCTAATATAGTCTGTAATGTGCTAATGAACAACCGAAGTAGGCCAGGTGTGGTGGGTCCTACCTGCAACCTAACTCTCCAAAGAGAAGCCGGAAGAGCTTGAGTTGAGATCTACAGGATCTTGGGTTCTACAGGAAAATCCTGTTTTAAACAAGCACCAAGAACCAAGTTTGCCGGTGACTCCGGGGGATTCTTTCTACCACATCTTCTTCTGCAACATCTGTTCTCCATTCTGAGTCCTTGCCACATGTCCTTCTCAGTCCTGAAGCACTTCCCCAGCTTGAGTTAACACAATTTGAAGATTTATTTTCAAATCACCCAATCCACACTTGTACACCATCCTTCCTCTTCAGCTCTTGCTTTTAGGAGCCATAGTTTGGTTCCCAGGTTCTGCCGAGTTAGTAGCTGTTTGTCTATGTTTGTTCATTAGTATATTTTTAAGATTCATTTATTTATATATTTTATGTATATAGGATAGGTGTTTTATCTGCATGTACATCTGCACATCAGAAGAAGGCATCACATCCCATTGGACTACAGTTATAGATGGTTGTGAGCTGCTGCGGGGGAGGGGGGGGGGGGGACACGACACTGGGAATTGAACTCAGAACCTGTGCAAGAGCATCCAGTGCTTTTATCAGATGAACTATCTTTCCAGCCCCTTGTGTGTGTGTATACATATATATACATATGTGTATATATATATACATATATATAATATGAATTGAAATCAGGTCATTATGGTTGTGAAGAGACACCTTACTGGCTACAGACCTCTTGTCTGGTTTTTTTTTTTTGTTGTTGTTGTTTTTTAAGCAGAGTTTCTTTGTCTAGCCCTGGCTGTCCTGGAACTCGATCTGTAGATCACAGAGATCTGCCTGCCTCTGTCTCCTGAGTGCTGGGATTAACTGCTGTACCACCACTGCCCCACTTCCAGACCTCTTTAGAGAGAGAATGTCATTAAGTTGCCCCGGCTGACCTTGGAGTTCCTTTCCCAGCCTCCTAAGAAGCAGTAGTGAGCAGCCTGCTCCAGGCCTGGTTTTGAAATACTGCTTGTCATGTGCTGTGTGCACACAGTAAGTTTCCCAGAACAAACAGATTCTGAAAGCATATCTGGGGCCGGGGGAGATGGCTCACAGGGTAAGAGTATTTACTGTGCAACCTTGAGGACTTTAGTTTGAATTCCAGCATCCATGCCAAAAGCTTGATGAGACCTCATGCACACATATGTGCCCACTGTTGTGTGGGCAGAAACAGGAGTGTTGGTAGGGCTTGCAGGCTGTGAGTCTAGTTCCAGTTCAGTGAAAGACCCTGCCTTAAAAAAATAAGGTGAAGAGTAACAGAGCAGTACTCCTGACATCCTCCTCAGGTATGCATTTCTGCATACTCATGTATACCTGCATGTCCAAGTGTAGAACACACACACACACACACACACACACACACACACACACACACACACACACTCAAGCCTATCCTTTACACCTGCTTCATTTTCTACCCAGGATCATGACCTGTGTTCAGACACACCTCAATTTCTGGATAAATAACTTCTGCTGTGTAGAATTTCTACTTCGTAATTACCTGAAATTTCTCTTATGTCTTGTAAGCTGCTCAACTGTAACTGAACTCTGCCTTGTAGAATTGCCTCTGGGTTCTCACGCATCTCTAGTCTTCTGATAGCCACAGCTTAGAACATGCTCTGCATGGTCTGTCACCCATGTGAGAACAATGATGAACAATATGTTTGGATATATAAACATATATATCCCACACCTGGAATCCCAAATCCCAAACATTATTCCCAGAAATCCAAACTCAAAGGCAGGTATGTTGCATGCCTGTAAGCCCAGCACTCAGGAGCTCCAGGCAGGACTTGAACCTCAAAGACAGTGTTAGCTACATCCTGAGTTGGAGGTTAGCCTGGTCTATGTGATGTCCTCCTCAAAACAAGCAAAAACAAAACCAACCACCAGAAGTTCTGATAACAGTATTTCCTCACAGAGCCCTTGAGACATGGCTTCGTTGGGGCCTGGCTTCTTCCTAGGTGCCACCAACTGCTGCGACAAACCACCATTTCCTTATATTGGCAGGATATTGTTTTCCTTCCGCATCCCCTTAGTCAGTCTTCGCACAGATAATTGCCAGGCTCATCTCCTTATTTCTTTCAAATCCCTGTTCACATGGTAGCTTCTCAGAGAGGGCTTTCCTAAGCACCCACCCCAGGAAAAACAGCGGCTTCCTCCTGCCCTGCTCTGTACTTCCTGTTTTCTTTTACCCTGCTTTTTGTTGTTGTTGTTGTTTGTTGTTTTTTTTTTTTTTTTTTTTTTGGTTTTTCGAGACAGGGTTTCTCTGTGTAGCTTTGCGCCTTTCCTGGGACTCACTTGGTAGACCAGGCTGGCCTCGAACTCACAGAGATCCACCTGGCTCTGCCTCCCGAGTGCTGGGATTAAAGGCGTGCGCCACCACCGCCCGGCATTGTTGTTTGTTGTTTTGAGACATGGTCTCTCTCTATATCTCTGGTTGTCCTGGGACTTGCTATATAGACCAGGCTGGCCTTCAACTCACAGAGATCTGCTGCCCCGGCCTCCCATGTGCCCCTGTTCCTGACCCAGGCTATTCTTGAGCAGCGCAGGATGGTACAC